ACTGAGGACTGGACTTAGGAACCGCCTGTGTATGAGTTGGGACGAAATAGCCAACAAGGATTCACCTGGACCATGGCCTTATACTAGTTATTCTCAGTCACGGTATGCTTGTCTTGTTTCACCGTTCGAGATTTTCTTTACTGAAATCCTTGTTTGAGACCAGTATTTGAATAATATTACACAGAAAAGTTGGCTTTTGCCAGTTTTCTTGTGATCCGAAAGAACTTGGTAGTGCCAGCACACACGGAAGCTCTTGCGCGTCTTTTTTGTCGGGGCGTGGTTGTCGTGTTTCACCGCTTGAGTTTTGATTCTCGAAAACCTTTTGTGGAAACAGTGTTGAATATCACGGACAAGAAAGTTTGACTTTGACAGTTTGTTTTGGATCAAGCAGGTTTGAAAGAGTCCAATATAACAAAGTGTAAAAATCTTGAATTGTTTTGCCTACTGTTCGTGGTTTTCTCTTTGACCTATTACTTGGCCTCCGTTAGAAGACTTCAACCCAAACGGTTCCGGGTTTTTGTCGATAGCTAATAGATAGAGAACAAAGCGGGATGAAGTTCGACCGCGCGAAACCGATCGATCCTTTGCTCCTTCAGTCTCTCCCAGCTCCAAAGGAGAACAGCTTTAGGTTATGTTACAGAAAAGCCTCTTATTGTCTTCGTTGCTACTTTTATGGATCTAGTGTGTCCAAATATGTGCAAACGAAGAACCCCGGGTTTTATTTGCTTGCTACTCACGTTGAGTGCATTTAGCCTGCAGCGCCTCGGTTCACGCTCCGAGTTTCTGGTAAAATTTTCCTTTTTCGTTATGGTAAGGATATTCGGTTCCAAGTCGCCTTCAGACCCCTTAACGGATTCGTCAGTTGTTTCTGGTAAAGCGAGCTGCCCAGAACCAATTACTTGTTCTTCGGGTGGCATGCAATTTGACCACCACTGTTGGTAGTTTCATGAGGCTTGCCCTAGGTTGGATAGACAGTAGTATATACCCTACAAAACAGCAATGATTTACCTTATAAGTGTCCTGCTTGTGGAAGTCACAATGCATATGGTCTAGTCCCAAGTGACGAATTTGAAACTTCGGTGCATAGAGTCAGTACCCTTCTATCTTTTTCAGTTTTTAGAGGGGGTTGGCCAACTTGTCGTAAAACCTGAACATGCAGGCCTTCTCAGAACAAGCGTGCGTTCAGAGGACTGCATAAACAATACGGCTTAGAAGGATTCAACAACTCTTAAGGCAGCGCCTGAAGATGGTTAAACTTCTGACGTTATATTGAACTCAGTTGTGAGTGGGGAAGTTATACAGGCTGCTGTAGCTGCAAAGGTAAATTGGCGCGTGATAAGGAACTTTATCAGCACGACCAAACCCAAGCTAAAATATGAAGCGTGGGGTTCTGTCGATACTCCGTCCTTGGAAAAGGAGGCAGAAAACTCTTCCGCCTCAATGCCGGAATCCTTGTCCCGTGCATTTGCTGTTCCTGCTAAGGAGGATATGGACTCAGGCGCTGCGCTGGCCATTGCTACAAGGACGTGCGCCACAAAAACCCCTCGTCGTAGTGATGCATTTACGGACAGCAGCGTTACCATAAGGAATATCCGGGAGTCCTCTGTGGCTCTTTCGAAAGCTCGCATGCTGGACGCCCTTCACTGATTTGAACTTTGCGTTCCTAAAGTACTTCCACTCGGGTTTCCTGGGGTTAATACTAGAAAAGGTACTAGGCTTGGGAACCTATCGGATGGCAGTGCTATATGTAGACCCCCGTCTATTGCGTGTGGTCCTGTCTACGCCGGAGAAGCGCTGAGCACTTTTGCGCTTTGCCTTTAAACTAAATGATTCCGGAGTGAGTATACAGCCGCACCTACCTTTATAACTTATATCAGAAAGCTTAAGGAAACCAACAAAACCTTAAAGCGCGTCGTGTAGCTCACGAGAATGGTTTATGTTTGGTGGGTTTTCAGGTGGTGAGCCCACGGTCCACTTCCGATCTACCAGAGCCAATTCTGACAGCACACGACCCTAGGCTCACCATAACGGACATTTTCACATAGTTCTCACTAAAGTGTGTAGCCTGCGAAGCAAAATGGGTGAAGCTGGGGCGCTAATTGATCACACCCATTCTGATGTACTCGCGTTCACTGAAACATGGTTGTCTTCTGATGTCATGGACGGTGAAATATACGTTCCGGACCACGCAATACTGAGATCTGACCGCCCACCTGACCGCCGCGGAAGGGACGTCGTCTTTTACATCAGATGTGGTCTAAACTTATCAAACACGCAAAAACTTTAGTCAGCTGATAAATAGGTTAAAGCTCGTGCAGTTGAAGTCTACTAAATCAACGCAAATTAAAGTTGTGCTGCAGTATTGGGTCCCTGATAGCGCATCTCGGTGTTTCCTTGAATTCATCCGCGGACACTGCGAACAGATGCTTGATAATGGCGTTACTTCAACGTCCCTGAAGTAACTTGGCATGGCCTATTTTATGAGGCAGCAAAAAAAGGGTCGACTGCCGAGCTGGTTGACTTGACAGTGGAATTACCCTTACACTAATTTGTTGATCGTCCCAGCAAGTACATGGAGGGTCACGCTCCTTCTCGCTTGGACCTAGGTTTGGCAAAGTCGATTGACTTTGTGTGCGCCCTTGAGTATGGCCTCCTTTGGGAGCCAGTGACCATAGGTGTTTGTCAATCTATTGTGCTCTCAGTAGAGACTAGGTTTCACGCAGGGTCCGGGCTCCTAACATTTGACACGTCGATTTTCAGTCCATTAGAGCCAAGGCAGTAAGTTTCCCATGCATCATCTTTCCGGATGATAATGTACAGACGGTTTTGGATACGTTTAAATTATTCCCCTTTAATATATCCCACCGGCTTCTCCCATTTATGATGAATAAGCGTACCAAAGCGAAGCCATCATGGTTGGACTCATTCGTACACTGGCTAATGAATAGACGGGCGTAATGCTCACGGAGCTATTGGACTGTTCTCTCGGAATGTACTTCTCGGCGTTATCGTAAAGCGCGGAATGCTTGCAAAAGTCATTTACGAGCTGTTAGACTTAGCTATGCGCTAAGGCTGGCTAACGCAGCCTCTGCAACTCCAAACCTATTCTTCGACTACGTCAAAAAACGCATTAACTTTGGCTCATCTATCCCAGTGTTATTGGGTAGCGACGGTACCACAGCCCACACTGTTCACGAAAAAGCATGTCCACCCAATTCGCAGTATGCCGAGACTTCTGTTCAGAATGAGCGGTTGTCGCAGTTTGACTTAGCGAGGTGCGTCCCACAGGACTCCTGTTTAACGGACGCCACAAGATCGGAGGCAAAAGTTCTCCAGCTTCTTCAGGGTCTAAATCCTGCGAAATCCGCTGAGATGGAGGATATTCAACCTAAGCTTTCGCACGAACTCGCAAGCGAGATATGTGGCCCGGTGAAGCGTCTGTTTCAGTTGTTGCTTCGCAGCTGCTCTTTCCCCAAGGACTGGAAGGATGCCAGCGTCTGCCCGATTCTAAAAAGGGAGACAAGTATCTCGCTGCCAATTATAGCCCGGTATGTTTGACAAGATTACTGGTCAAGATATTGAAGAAGATGGTCAGTGATGTGCATAAAAATCACCTGCGGGAGTTGGGTTTGCTCAGACCAGTTGAACATGGCTTTCTCAATGGCCATCACCTCATGTAATGCGGATGCTTAGGATCCATGTCATGCGGTCGATGTAGTGTTTATTAACTTCTCCAAGGCTTTCGGCACGATCACGTTCTGGCCTTTCCTTAAAACTTCTTTCCTGTGGAATATCAGGGCATACACTAATTTGGACTACGTTTCTGGAAGGGAGTGAGTTGGGTGTTCGTGTGGGGTCTAGGCTGTCTGTCAGTCAGTCCTCACTGAGGTTCCTCAGGATTCGGTGTTGGGCCTATTGTTATTTTCTCTGTATGACAATGAACTACGTGAACTGCTGGGGGTACCGTCCCACATTTTTGCAGAAGACCTAAAGTTTTAGCACATATTGGCCGACCTCGATGGAGCACAGACGCCGCAACGGGCCCGCAAAAAACTTTGGGACTGGGCTGCCCTGTGGCAGTTGCCTATAAATTATGCAAAGCGTTCCACCTTACGAGTAGGGCTGACTGGCTCATAAACGCGTTAGCTGCTTGGCGTTGATAAACTACACCATATTTCCAAACTGCTAGACCTAGGGGTCCCGTTGTCTACAGAACTTAAATCCCGTGAGAACTGGAGGAAAGCTACGTGCAAGGGCTTCGGGAGGTTGTGAATGATTCGTAGAGCATTCGGGGCTAGCATGGGCGTTATATTTGCCACGTTATTCTCATTCTTGGTCAGTCACACTTGGAATACTGCATCCAGCGTTGTCCACCTTGCTTAGTCAAGGACAGGATGGCGTTGGAGTGTTGAGCTTTGGAACCAAAATGATGCGTGGACTACGAAAGTTATCTTACACCGAAAGATTACTTAAGCTGGAAATGCTCTCATTGCATTATCATCTTCATCGAGGTGAACTGGTCTTGACCTATCGCATACATACTGTAAAATCGGACCCAATTTTCTGGTTTTTTCAACTTGGACGGCTTCTATCTGGTCCATTATGCTCACCAACCTCCAACAATGGACAAAAGCCTGTCTTAGGTTGCAAACCAGCAAGGCCCATAGACACCATGTTACAACTCCTAGTACACTTTCCTTCCAAGAAGACCGCTTCAAACAGATTCAACTTGATGTAGAAGGACCGCTACCTGCTCTTAACCGTTTAACTTATCTGTTGCCTTGCGTTGATCGCTTTACTCGGTTTCCACACGCAGTTCGCTTATGTGGTATATCCTTGCAATCGTGCGCGTGTTTTCGTTAAATCGTGAACTTCATTATCCGGTAGGCCAGCCACTGTAACTGTTAAGACGGTAGCTCCGCACTTTGTGCGCAAGCGCTCAAGTAACCGGTTATGTTTCACTTATATCCCCAGCGTTAAACTAACCCCACCTCTATCTC